TCTTAAAATAAAATTGAACCATATGTTAGTCCGAAAATGATCTAGTTTGTGTCGAGTGGACGATAATCCCATTTTTCTCTCTCTGTTAATGAGATACCGGTACATCTCCTATCTATAATAACCCTACACACAGCAAAGCCCTTAATATATTTGAAAATATAAGATTTCTGCTATACTGACGACCTTTTGGTCATGAAAGATTTTTACTATACTGACGACCTTCCGATCTTGTTTTCATAAAAAAAAACTGATAACGGAACTACCAGATAGTTATTAAACAAGCCAACAGTGAAGCTGATGTCCCCCGCCGAAATCCCCAAATAAATAGATGACACATATTAATTAATCACACACCTATTTTTTTTCAAAAGTATCGAGTAATCAAACTGATAATCAACTATACACTAAGTTCCATCACTCTCTATCAGGTAGAATCAAAGTTATCTTGTCCCAAAGCATCGACCAAGGAAATTGCTTATCTCTGCTTAGCTTTAGCTCGATATGTTAATCATTGAACTCAGTCAAGGCGAACATCTACATAAATTAGAAGCAGAGTTGTTATGTTCCAAAGTCTTGACCAATCAAAATGCTTCTTGCTCCTTAGCCTAAGCAGACAATTTTCATCATCGAACTTAGTCAAGGTATTGATGTAATGAAACTATACACCAAGTTTCATCACTCTCAATTAATGAGAACTAAAGTTATCGACATCGTGTCCCAAAGAAACAACCAATCAAATTGCTTATCTCTACTTACCATAAGCAGAAAATGCCCATCTTTGCACTCTATCAAGGCATTGACCTCATAAAAACCAAGTTTGAACATTCTAGCTCAATTAGAAGGAGAGTTATTGTGTTCCAAAGTCTCGGCCAATCAAATTGCTTATCGCCCTGCTTACCCTGAGCAGAATATACTCAATATCGAACTTAGTCAAGGTATTGATGTAATGAAACTATACCCCAAGTTTTATCACTCTCACTTAATTGGAAATAAAGTTATCATGTCCCAAAGCATCAACCAATCAAATTGCTTATCTCTACTTACCCTAAGCAGAAAATGCTCATATTCACACTCCATCAAGGTATTGACCTAATAAATACATACACCAAGTTTGAACATTTTAGCTCAATTAGAAAGAGATTTATTGTGTTCCAAAGTCTCGGCCAATCAAATTGCTTATCGCTCTGCTTACCCTGAGCAGAAAATGCTCATTATCGAACTTAGTCACGGTATTGATGTAATGAAACTATACACCAATTTTTATCACTTTCACTTAATTAGAACTAAAGTTATCGTGTCCCAAAGCATCAACCAATCAAATCGCTTATCTCTGCTTACCCTAAGCAGAAAATGATCATCTTCGAACTCCATCAAGGCATTGACCTAATAAACACCTACACCAAGTTTGAACATTCTAGGTCAATTAGAAGGATGTTTATTGTGTCCCAAAAAGTGTGACGGCCAGACAAACGGACGAACCCATTTTAATAGACCCTGCTTTCTTCGAAAGGCGGGGGACAATAATGTCCACGATTAGGGTATCGATGTTTAATATCAATGTGTTTAGTGATATCTGACATGGGCATACCCATCAATAATGATTAGTTACCAGTACAACATCCACAGTTGTTAATGAAAGAATACAATAATATGTACTCTAACTGTAGTAATTTTAAAACAGGCACATTTGAAGATTACCAGACAGAATAATACATTTTATCATGTGATGACTATTTTATTCGTGACCATGTTTACAATTCTTTTCACATGTGGGTAAATGTTTTGGTTTTGATGTCCCTAGTTCATAGTATTCTAATAGATGTATGCCAACATTTTTCCATGGTAGTATTATTAAAGGGTGATATCATCTGCCATATCTTATTGTCAAGTTATAATAGGATTTGAACTACATAAAAGCAATTTGTCTCATCTATAATGTCCGCAATTGTTAATTCTAGTACTAATTACCTCGTTTTGTAGCAATGCTGTACACAAATGATGTGACCTCGGCAATATGCCCTCAGTACTTCCCATGTGCTATCGTGCACATGATTTGTGTCATTGTTGAATTTCGAATATTCAGCTGATCGTCCATTTTCCGAATATTATTTTCAGAACATACATTGCCCACAATATTATTTGAACGCCGTGCTTCGAAAATTAGGTTTTAACACCAGGAACACAAATCCAGAGAGTTTCAAGCAAAAAGTCTGCACTAACTCGATTGAGGGCCAGATGAAAATTGTGATAATTGACAAGTAAATAATAATAATTGTGAAGTTGACATAAAATTAAATATTGACGAAAACACCCGATGCCTCCATCCTAGGCAAAGAATATGCTGTTGGTTAAATTTTGATTTAAACCAAAATGCAGAAAACATAAGACAAGGAAACATACAGAATTTTGGAAATCAATTTATGGTAAAAGGAGTTATCTCCCTTTATGGAAAATATTAATAATTATTGACAACAGTAAAGGGATTTAACTACAGACAAGAGCCTATATAAGTTCAATCTTTTTTTTTTCAGTTAGAATTTGAAGCTAAAGGTCTAACACATATTTAACCTGAAACATAGCATCTACTGATATTTAGTTTTCTCACTAAAAAAGATATGGCCAAAACTAAATAATACTGTAAATGGAGTGACAACATTGTAATGAAGAAAAAAGAAATCAAATGGAATACAATATCTTACTGTTCTCCATCAACCCGTATAATACATTATTGTTTGAGTGGGGGGGGGGGGCATTGTACGTGTACAACTAGTATGTTTCCCCTTGTCCGTGACTCACTAATTAGGAGGTCTGGGGTTCGATTCCTGTGTTACTCTAGACATTTCCAGAAACTTTCCAGCGTTGTTTCCCCATGTCAGTGGTGCAGGAAGCGGGGGGGGGGGGTGATGGGCAGCGTCCAGTTATTCGGATGGAATATAAAACTGAGGTCCCGTGCACACGTTTGACGTGCACGCAAAAGGACTTTAAATCCGAAATAAAGAGTAGACCGTAATGTATGGCGGGCGTATGTACATCTTCATTATGACGGTTGATTTTTTTCTCTCTTCATTACAATTCCCACTCACCTACAGTATTATTTAGGTTTTGACATATATCTATTTTAGTGAGAAAATTACATATTGATGCTTTGTTTGAATTCAAATATTTGTTAGGAATTTAGCCCCAAATCTAATCTGAACTAAAAGTTTACAAATATATTTGTAGAAATACTGTTTTGGGAAAACTTACAAAAATGACCGCCCACCCTCCCAGATTCTTTGAACCGTCCATTTTTCGGGCCATGTATTTCAGTTTTTCGGGCACAAGCTTCAGAGAATGAAGAATGCGAACAAATCACATGGAAATATAATTGTATATTTGTGTAACAATCTGATTAAAATACAGATCTATATTTCGTTTCGTTTTTTATACTTTCGATGGCCTACACTACATGAAGATCTGACAAGTTATAACGATAGGTCACGCCAGGAGTCAAAGCACCGACTTATGACCCTTTTGACGTCAGACATTTGATTAACCAATCAGCATTGATGTTACTAGTGGATTACCCACAGTTCCGTGAAAAACACGCCTAAAGCTAGCCGTAACAGACTGTTTCATTGGTTTATCCCTGACACCATTCCGAACACGAGTTAAATAACAACTCTTCCAGAACCAAGTGTAGTAAAGACAAGTAAAACGAAATTTTGAACTATAAAAACGAAACGAAATAGGATCTGTGTTTTAACCAGATTGATTTGTGTAATTAATTCAAAATAAACAATCATCACAGCTTTGTGGTAAATTCATTTTAGTTAAATATTGATTCATTCAGAAAATTTGGGTGACAAATTTTTCAGGCAAATAGGCTCAACCCCCCACACCCAACTGAGATTAGCCCCCTACACCATGTAGCCCCTTACCTGTTCAATCCGATTCAGTTTGTTGAATCAAAAATTGTTTAAACTATTGTGTTCTCTCCCATCGAGCGACTGGGCATTGCTTTTCATTTTCAATAATTGATTTACTTCAATAAATAGTTTGTCTTAAATCTATATTTGTTAGCAAATTACACAATTATAGATATGGTTTCAGTTTAAATGTTTGTAATTGGGCCTTAAATATCTAAACTAGAGGTTTACAGCTACCTGTAGTAAAAATAATGTAGGGTCTAATTGAAAGGGTATGTTGGTGTGGGTTTATGTTTTAGTGGAAAAAATCACGTGGTTTCAATGCGATTTACACAACTACGGACATAGTCTGGTCTCCATTACTTCATAGACATATTGCTCAACCAATGTCAAACATATCTCCTTGCTCATCAGACTAGGCGCTCTGCCCATAATATCTGGGTAAACACCCGCTCCCCAACCCTTGCAGTCCCCTGTGACCCCATAAATATTGGGCTTGTGTACTCACACATGGTCTTGTGTGTCATACAGCATCAGCAGTCAACACGCACCTGAAATACTGTTACCAATTGCAAACATTTGACAGAAAGGGAGATAACTCTCTATTACCGTTAATAGATTTCCAAAATTCTGTATGTTCCCTTGTCCATTATGTTTTCTGCATTTTGGTTTAAATCAAAATTTAACCAATAGCATATTCTTTGCCTAGGATGAAGGCATCGGGTGTTTTCGTCACTATTTAATTTTATATCAACTTCACAATTATTAGTAAAAATATAGCATTTATTTAACAATTGTCACAATTTTCATCTGGCCCTAAATCGAGTTAGTGCAGACTTTTGCTTGGAACTCTCTGGATTTGTGTTCCTGGTGTTCAAAGCTTTCCAAAAATGTATAGTTTGTTTTTTTGGGAGGACCATGTAGTGGAATTGTGTTTCTAAGCAAGCTAGAAATTTTGGCTGCAGGCAAAATAACTTGTACAGAATCAAATTATATCTACTTTCAATGTGCAATGAGTCTTACCATTTTATTTTAGAAACAGAGTACGATGTGGCAATAACATGTTACACAAATTCAAGCCATACTTACCTGCGTTTATACGCTAATTCAACGTTCAGTTATTACTCTACTCAGTACACCAATACATGTCACTCTGTGCCGAACACCTGCGGTCGACGAGTGTTCACAACATTTCGTGTGGTTTTCGCCAGTTCGGTAAGTATATTTTAAATACATTTTTTTTTCAAATAATTGATCCATCTTGGGGCTTCTTAAGGCGGCAAATGTAGACCATGTCATGGATCTCAACTGAGTTCAATAGGTATATATTTTGTCTTGGTAGTGCTATGCAGATTTGTTCAAATGAAGGTGATTGGTGTAATAAAATAATGAGGTGTCGGAGAAATTAAATTAGAGCTTGTAAAAACCGTAATGACAACCCTAACCGTCAATAGGAAATTGGTGATGGATAATTACTCCAAGGGGAGATAAGTTTGAACATTTCTAATGACCTTTTTTCAAGTCGCATCAGTAATATCTACTTACATTATAAATTTCATGAAAATCGTGCTTATATTAAAGAAGTTGCCAAGTTGGTCTCAACTTCCGGGACGAAATGACAGCGACGAATTTTCGAAATTCGAAAATCTGAAATTGCAGATGAAAATAATTTTTTTCAAGGTACTCAAAGAAAAAAGAATTAGTAAAATCGGTCAAAAAACCACAAAGTTTGTAAGTTTCTTTCGTTCGTAAAATTCGGCGATTTCGAATTCGTAAAACGTTTTGAAAATATTTTTAATCCGCAGCCACCAACCATTCTTGGGGGGGGGGGGGTAGGTCAAAGTTTCAGAAAGATCCCATAGTTTGATTCTGAGATATAAGATTTATGGGAAAATAACAAAAAAAAAACAAAAACAAAAAAAGCTAGATCTGCTACTGTCCCATGCAGATATGAAAGCTTTCATATTCATCGTCACATATTTTTACAAAACTTCACGTCAGGTGTTACTAACTTTGTCAAAATGGTGAAAGTATTATTGACTAGTGTATAACGGTACTAAACATTTCAACCGGGTAAAATTTCCCGTATTTACATATATTCACGGTCACTTCCTGTTACATGTCATTGGTGACATAAATAATCTCAAAGATAGGTTGCCAGGCACCGAAACATACGCCCACAGCAGCTAAATCGCCCGGGAAGACAACATGAGTTGTATATTCTTGCTTTTGATGGTAATGAAAGATTTATAATTCACTAGAAATTGTTTAGCTCATGCTAACGTTTTGTATACAAAACATTTCAAGTTACCAAAATTCATTGAAAATAAATATACTTGTTCGTCTCAAGACCTCAAACTCTATGTATCAATCGAAAGTCTATCGAAATGATTATATATAGGCGTAAACACGGTGTATAAATATGAAATCAATCAGATGATAACTTTGGTCTTTAAAGCAGTTCTCAAGGGCCACAACTCTGGCCATAATTATCGGAAATCGTTGAAAATCAATAGCTTTTTCGTCTGATGACCTTAAACACTGTGTATAAATTCAAGGTCAATCGGATATTAACTTTAGCCTCTAGAGCGTCCACAAGCTTTTTCAAAGTGATCAAGTGAAAATCAATAGGCTTCTTCGTCGCATGACCTTAAAAACTGTGTATAAATATAAAGTCAATCGGATATTAACTTTAGCCTCTAGAGCGTCCACAATCAATTGTAGACGCCGGACCGACGGACGGGGGCGACGACAATATACGACCACATTTCAATGTGGGTGTATAAAAAGGAAAAATAATTATTAAAATCAGCAAAAAACTTGCTGAGTTATAACGAAAAACATTTCAACCGGGCAAAATTTGCCGTTATTTGTTACGAATTAAATCGGTCAAAAACTGCCTAAGTAATGACAACCAGGAATGGACTTCAAATCAGTTGTCATTGATCTTGTCAACAATCTTAAAGAGAACAGAATTATTAATTTGGTTATCAGGGTAAACATTTCAACAGGCAAGATTTTCTGTTTTAACAGTTAATTTGCCCAGTACCTGTGATTAGCAACCGATTTTTACAAAACTTGACAAATAAGCTCTTACTGACCAGCTTAATCGTTTGCGATCAACTTGTGATTTGAATTTCTTCAGTTTTTAAAGACATTAAATTGAATAACGTGAATTTAATAAAAACAAAATCGGCTAAAATCTGACCGGGTTAAAAAGAGGAATGTTTCAACCAGACATCACTTAACATCAGGTGTTACTGACTTTGTCAAAATGATGAAAGTATTATTGACTAAAGTATAATAACGGTACTAAACATTTCAAACGGGTAAAATTCCTCGTTTTTACATATTCACGGTCACATGTCGATGGGTTATATAAAGAATCTCAAAAAGGAAAAAGAATTATTAAAATCGGCAAAAGAGAGAGAAATGCGATTTAACGTCCACTCGACACAAACTAGGTCATTACGGGACTAACACATGGTTGAATTTTATTTCAATAATTCGCTTGCGCGTAGGGGTCTTTAGCTGAGGGAGAAAACCGGAGGACCCGAAGAAAACCCACGAGGTTGGACAGGCGACCCTACTCCTTGTCACGTACTACCGGGAAATAGAAACGACGCCAGGATTCAGAAAATGTAACTCCCATGTCTGTAAGTATAATATCACAAAAGCTTTAAAGACTTTTCACGTTTCAAGATGGTGCACTTCCGGTTGTCAGTTCTGTTTTACTTCCGGGATGAAATGTCAATGGTACTCAAAGAAACATAAATTAGTAACATAAGTCAAATAGTCACCGAGTTATAGGTATGTAGGTCAATTTCCTCGTTCGTAAAATTCGGTGATTTCGGATTCCTAAAACGTTTTGGAAATATATTTAATCAACAACCGCACCCCATATTTTTTTTTGTGGGGGGGGGGGGGCAAAGATTCAGAAAGATCCTATGGTTAGATTCTGAGAAATCCGATTTGCAGAAACTACACACACAAAAGAAAAAAAAAATAATAATAACTAGATCTGCTACTGTCTCATGCAGATATGAAAGCTTTCATATTCATCGTCACGTGACATGGATTATATCAAGTATCTTAGAAGAAAAAAGAACAAGAAAAAAATAATTATCAAAAACGGTGAACAACTCTAAACATACTGAAAAACATTGCACCCGAGCAAAAAAAAAAAAAAAATCTGAAAAGTAAAGGGAAATAATTGGGACTTGGATTGCTGTAATTGGAATGATCTCCCGTTCCAGAAGTTTCAGAAAAATGGATCAAGCCGTTTAAAAACTGGACGGATGAGAAAATGGCGGGAAAGAACTAAAAAAATGGCAGGTAAATATCGAAAAAATAAATGAGATAACTTTGAACGGAACTTATATTTTTTGAATCAGATTGACCTCAGCTGTTCGAATATTTAGGATAAATTTGTAAATTTTGAAAATTAAAGACATAAATTGTCCTGCAAACAACTTTGTCGGCACGTTAAAGGTCAAAGGCGAAATTCAAAATTTTGAAATTTTCAAACAGCAAAAATTCGACCTTGATCGAGGACTATCCTGAAATGTACTAATTTCCGAAATAGGAGACGCACTGAACATACTACAGCCTATTGTGTTTATTTTCACACCCGTTAAAGTGGATTTTTCACTGTTCTTCATATTAAATTCCAAATGGAGACCATCAGTTGACCGAAATCAAAATTCTGTTCTGAACCTTTTTTGGACATTCCTTCAGGGATTCAGAAAATATAACACCCATGTCTGTAAGTATAATATCGCAAAAGCCTGATGGATTTTTCACGTTTCAAGATGGTGGCACTTCCGGTTGTAATGTTGTATCGATAGACATCATATTTTGTGTACGCATCAGTAATTTCTTATCTAGTATAGAAAAAAAAAATTCAAGGCAATCTGATCTATATTTAGTCGATTTTTTTAAAAATTTGATCCTTAATTTCTCCAAAGGGAGATACGTTAGGGCATATCTAATGGTATCGTTGAAGTTGGGTCAATGAGATGTACATACATTCCAATTTCATGAAAATCGTACAAATATCAAAGAAGTTGTCAGTTCTGTTTTACATCCTGGACGAAATGTTAATGACGTAATTTTCGAAATTCGAAAATGGGGGGGAGGGGCAGGGGTGGATGGCCGAATGGTTAGCACGTGCATGCTGTATCATAAAGCCCGTCATTGAGTCAACTGGGGTGGTTTCGAATCCCCGGTTGTACGTGACAAGGAGTAGGGTCGCCTGTCCAACCTCGAGGGTTTTCTCCGGGTCCTCCGGTTTCCTCCCACTGCTAAAGACCCCTACGCGCAAGCGAATTATTGAAATAAAATTAAACCATATGTTAGTCCCAAAATGACCTAGTTTGTGTCGAGTGGACGTTGAACCTCATTTCTCTCTCTCTCTCTCTCTCTCTCTCTCTCTCTCTCTCGAAAATCGGAAATAGCAGATTTGAAGTAAATATTTAAAGGTACTCAAAGAAAAAAAAAATTAGTAACAAAGATTACATAGTCACAGAGTTATGGGTGTGTAGGTCAAATTCTTCGTTCCTAAAATCCGGTGATTTCGGATTCGTAAAACGTTTTGAAAATATATTGATTCCAAGGCTAACCAGAAATGTATTAATTTCGGAAATAGGAGACGAATTCACGAAACGCCGGCTGATTTCGATTATATTCAAGCCGTTATTTGGAATTTTTTACTCCTAAACAACTTTGTCGGCACGATAAACGCAAAGGGCAATATTCGAATTTTTGGAAATATTTAAATACCAAACATTCGACCATGAGCCAGGCTATCCTGAAATTTATTAATTTCAGAAATAGGAGACGCATTGAACATACTATGCCATTACTACGGTCTATTGTGTTTATTTACAAGCCCGTTAATGTCTTTAAGTATAATATCGCAAAAGCTTCAGGGATTTTTCACGTTTCAAGATGGTGGCACTTCCGGTTCGATCGATAGACTTCATATTTTGTGTACGCATCATTAATTTCTTACCTAGTATAGAAAAAAAAATCCAGGGCAATCGGACATAATTTTTGTCGATTTTAATGAAAAATTTGATCCTTATTTTCTCAAGGGGGAGAAAAGTTAGAAAATGTCTAATGACTTCGTTGAAGTTGGATCAACCAGGTCTTCTTACATTCTAAATTTTATGAAAATCGTACTAATAGTCAAGAAGTTATCATGTTTGTTTTAC